AGCTTGATCTCTCGGGACCCTAAAGGAAGTGAAACCTGGAGCTCTCCTTCGGGAACCCTGAATAAAAGGTGAGACCAGAGCTCTGGAGGGGCCCTGAAGGAGGTGAAGCCTGGAGCTCTCTTTCGGGAACCCTGAAAACGTGAAACCAGGAGCTCTCGGGGGTCTCTGAAGGAGGTGAAGGCTTCTTATGTGATACCTTTCGACCCTGTTTTTGTGTAGGGAAGATCTGTGCCAGCTTGCCTTTTTTCCTCGGATGTTGTCTAGTCGACATATTCATACATACTAAAGGCATTCACCAACCTCTGCAATACCCTTCGTTGTTGACGTTGATCCATAGTAGCTAGGCACATGTCCAGGATCGCGTCCATCTGAGGGTCATCCTCTTTCTCCAGCTTGCTGAGCATTCGCTGGATTTGCTCGGTGCTGTCAAAGATGACGTTTAGGATGTCTTCGATGGAAACGTCTTGCTCAACATGGACTTCGTACAAGAGCTCAAACACGGCGTCGACATTCAGTGCCAGCATGCATGTTCCGCTGTCGCAGAGCCATTGCTGCTCCATCTTATTGACCTGGCCGTTTTCAAAGAATAGTCCAGGAATCTTCACAGCCTATCATCCCCGTATATTCTCTAAAAGCCACAGAGCTTTGGGAAACACTAACTTATGTGCTTACGAGTGGATTGATTTACAGAAACTGTCATGGTTTGCTAAAAAATCATTGTTTTGAGCAACTCAACCTTTGTAGACAGCCATCTGCATGAGCAAAGAAGGGCAGCACGTTCAGTATGCAGCTGCCGAAGCTGATCATGCACTTGGTCACGTTCACCGTTATCCAAATGAAATGGATCGTCGCTTTCCCAGTCATCCTTTGCAAATAGCATGGGAACCACTCTGCCAAAGCGCTCCAGCATCAGTGGTTCCCTTGCGGTTGACTGCAGCGCAACGCCAAGGGCGTCCAGTGCACGTGACATTTTCCGGTGCTCCATAAAGTGGTTGGTGCAAGGCTGCGGCATATTTAACTCTGTACTTCTTAATGTACTGTTCGGTTCAGGCCATGTTGTAGTGTCATGACTACATGACTGATACTGCAACGGAAAATGCTGCTGGAACACAGAGTGTTGCGTGGAGCTTGATCTTCGGGGAGCCTAAAGGAGGTGAAACCTGCAGCTCTCGGGGGCCTAAAGGAGGTGTGGAGCTCTCGGGGGGGCCTAAACCAGGAGCTTTCAGGGACCTAAAGGAGGTGGGAGCTCTCTCGGGTGAAACTTGGAGCTCTCGAAGGGGCCTAAAGGAGGTTTTGGGGGGCTAAGGGGGTGAAACCTGGAGCTTTTTGGGGGGGCCTAAAGGGGGTGATTTCGGGGGGGCTAAAGGAGGTGAAACCTGGAGCTCTCAGGGGGGCCTAAAGGAGGTGAAACCTGGAGCTCTCCGGGGGGGCCTTAAGGAGGTGAAACCTGGACCTCTCGGCAGGGGCCTAAAGGAGGTGAAGCCCGTAGCTCCGGGTGGGGGGGGGGGGGCCTAAAAAAGGTGAGACCTGGCTGCTTGATTCGATTCGCCGAAGCTGTATCTTGACCGTGGGTTTCTACGATAGAAGCTGCATAATTACCAGAATGGCATTTGCGAAGATGTCAGCTAGTAGTGGCTGTTATTTTCTGACATCAACACGCAGCACTGCAACCATTTTTTCTGATGATCACTATTTCAAGTGATGATACGCCGCACAACATGCGCTAAAATCTGCTCGCTCTTCTCCCCAAAACAGAATGTGCCCATCCTGTTTCGCCAGCAATGACACCAGTTTATACACATTCAGCATTTGACCAACACATCCATCCTGGTTGGGATTGCTGGAGGCTTGAATGCAGCTCGTCCAAGGCACCGAACCAGTCCATGTGAGAGGTACTCGCAGCAAAGCTTGTACTTGCGCCAAACCTTTCGAACGTAGTGACCCTTTACTATGCCGAGGGTAGTACTGGCGTGGTCTACCAAAGACAAACTCCAGTAGAGCAGGAAGAGCCAAGACTGCTTCGCCGCTTCCTGCTTGAACAGGATGGACGCCATGCCCAGCAAATAAAATCAACACGAAGCTGTGTCGAAATTGCTTGCATAAGCTTTGGAACACACAAGCTTTCTCGCAGGCAGCTGCTCCAGCTTTTTGCTTGCTATAGGTTCCATCTGACAGTTCCATGTGCGGACTTCCCCATGCAACCAGGGTGATTTGGTGATGAGCCAACCCAAGGTTCCGATGAACCCACGTCGATGCAAGGTATCCATCAACACCCTCGGCGATCTTGGCTCCAAACGTTTGCATGAATTCCAAATTCCCTGCCAAAGCAGCATGTGCCGGATCTGCCAGATCACTGCACTCAGCTGCTGGTAGGTCTATGTCCAAACAAACGTGATCCTCCACTCGTGGCCAGCGGTACTCTGTCACAATCCACTTCTGCAATCCCCTTTTCGCACGCTGCCGCCACTTGCACATAAGCTTGAAGAGCAAAAGAACAATGGGCGCCAAAGATACCAAAGGTATGCGCCGCATGGCGGAAGAACGCATGGCGCGTGTAGCAATATGCCACATTGCTGCAAAAGAACTACGAAGAAGTACATGCCAAAGTGGAAATTGCTGTATCAAGCAAGCAGTGAATATTGCTCACAAAGCACTATTGGATTTGACGCTCACAGCCCGAAACCAGCTGAAGCCTGGAGCGTGGCACCGCAAAACACATGCACTGGGATTCTGTCATGTGCTGCTAAGAGCGACATACGCTAAATTAGCCGAAACCCTGCTGGAAGCCTTGGAGCAAGTGAATCGCTGTGGGTGAGCCCTAAAGGAAGGGAAGCCTGGAGCTCTCGAGGGTCTAAAGCTTTTGGGGGCCCTAAAGGAGGAGAAGCCTACAGCCTTCGGGTGCCCTAAAAGAAGGTAAAGCCTGGAGCTTTCGGGGGTCTCAGCTCTAAAGGAAGTGAAACTGGAGCTCTCGGAAACTCTGAAGGAGTTCTGAAGGAGCTACTGCTTGGAACTCTCGGGGGAGTCGGGGCGCTAAAGGAAGTGAAACCTGGAGCTCTCGGGTGCCTAAAGGAGGTGAAACCTCGAGCTCTCGGGGGCGGTGGAGCCTGGAGTTTCGGGAGCTTTCGGGAGGGGAAGGCTAAAGGAAGTGAAACCTGGAGCTCTCGGGGGTGCCTAAAGAAGGTGAACTTGGGGGGCCTAAAGGAGGTGAAACCTGGAGCTCTCGGGGGGCCTAAAGGAGGTGAAGCCTGGAGATCTTGGGGGGGCCTAAAGGAGGTGAAACCTGGAGCTGTTAGGGAGGGTAAAGGAGGTGAAACCTGGAGCTCTTGGGGGGGCTTAAAGGAGGTGAAACCTGGAGCTCTCGGGGGGGCCTAAAGGAGGTGAAACCTGGAGCTCTCGGGGGGGCCTAAAGGAGGTGAAACCTGGAGTTTTGGGGGGGCCTAAAGGAGGTGAAACCTGGAGCTCCTGCGGGGGCTAAAGGAGGTGAAACCTTGAGCTCCTGGGAGGCCTGAAGGAGGTGAAACCTGGAGCTCCTGGAAAGGCCTAAAGGAGGTGAAACCTGGAGCTCTCCGGCGGGCCTAAAGGAGGTGAAACCTGGAGCTCTTGGGGGGCCTAAAGGAGGTGAAACCTGGAGGTCTGGGGGGGCCTAAAGGAGGTGAAACCTGGAGCTCTCGGGGGCCTAAAGGAGGTGAAACCTGGAGGTCTGGGGGGGCCTAAAGGAGGTGAAACCTGGAGCTCTCGGGGGCGCCTAAAGGAGGTGAAACCTGGATTCTCTTGGGCCCTAAAGGAGGTGAAACCTGGAGCTTTCGGGGGCCCTAAAGGAGGTGAAACCTGGAGCTCTCGGGGGGGCCTAAAGGAGGTGAAACCTGGAGCTCTTGGGGGGGCCTAAAGGAGGTGAAGCCTGGAGCTCTCGGGGGGCCTAAAGGAGTTGGGGGGCCTAAAGGAGGTGAAACCTGAAGCTCTCGGGAGGGCCTAAAGGAGGTGAAACCTGGAGCTTTCGGGGGGCCTAAAGGAGAAGGAGGTGGGGGCCTAAAGGATGTGAAACCTGGAGCTCTTGGGGGGGCCTAAAGGAGGTGAAACCTGGAGCTCTCGGGGGCGCCTAAAGGAGGTGAAACCTGGAGCTCTTGGGGCGCCTAAAGGAGGTGAAACCTGGAGCTCTTGGGGCGCCTAAAGGAGGTGAAACCTGGAGCTCTTGGGGGGGCCTAAAGGAGGTGAAACCTGGAGCTCTTGGGGGTGCCTAAAGGAGGTGAAACCTGGAGCTCTTGGGGTGCCTAAAGGAGGTGAAACCTGGAGCTCTTGGGGGGGCCTAAAGGAGGTGAAACCTGGAGCTCTTGGGGGGGCCTAAAGGAGGTGAAACCTGGAGCTCTTGGGGGGGCCTAAAGGAGGTGAAACCTGGAGCTGTTAGGGAGGGTAAAGGAGGTGAAACCTGGAGCTCTCGGGGTGCCTTAAAGGAGGTGAAACCTGGAGCTCTCGGGGTGCCTTAAAGGAGGTGAAACCTGGAGCTCTCGGGTGGCCTAAAGGAGGTGAAACCTGGAGCTCTTGGGGGGGCCTGAAGGAGGTGAAACCTGGAGCTCTCGGGGGGCCTAAAGGAGGTGAAACCTGGAGCTCTGGGGGGGGCCTAAAGGAGGTGAAACCTGGAGCTCTCGGGGGGCCTAAAGGAGGTGAAACCTGGAGCTCTCGGGGGCGTGTAAAGGAGGTCTGGAGCTCTTGGGGTGCCTAAAGGAGGTGAAACCTGGAGCTCTTGGGGGGGCCTAAAGGAGGTGAAACCTGGAGCTTTCGAGGGGCCTAAAGGAGGTGAAACCTGGAGCTCTCGGGGGCGCCTAAAGGAGGTGAAACCTGGAGCTCTCGGGGGGCCTAAAGGAGGTGAAACCTGGAGCTCTTGGGGGGGCCTAAAGGAGGTGAAACCTGGAGCTCTCGGGGGGCCTAAAGGAGGTGAAACCTGGAGCTCTCGGGGGCGCCTAAAGGAGGTGAAACCTGGCGCTCTCGGGGGCGCCTAAAGGAGGTGAAACCTGGAGCTCTTGGGGGGGCCTAAAGGAGGTGAAACCTGTAGCTCTTGGGGGGGCCTAAAGGAGGTGAAACCTGGAGCTCTCGGGGGCGCCTAAAGGAGGTGAAACCTGGAGCTCTCGGGGGGCCTAAAGGAGGTGAAACCTGGAGCTCTCGGGGGCGCCTAAAGGAGGTGAAACCTGGAGCTCTTGGGGTGCCTAAAGGAGGTGAAACCTGGAGCTCTTGGGGGGGCCTAAAGGAGGTGAAACCTGGAGCTTTCGAGGGGCCTAAAGGAGGTGAAACCTGGAGCTCTCGGGGGCGCCTAAAGGAGGTGAAACCTGGAGCTCTTGGGGGGGCCTAAAGGAGGTGAAACCTGGAGCTCTCGGGGGGGCTTAAAGGAGGTGAAACCTGGAGCTCTCGGGGTGCCTAAAAGGAGGTGAAACCTGGAGCTCTCGGGCGGCCTAAAGGAGGTGAAACCTGGCACCTGGACTCTTGGGGGGGGCCTAGACGAGGTGAAACCTGGAGCTCTTGGGGCCTAAAGGAGGTGAAACCTGGAGCTCTTGGGGGGGCTTTCACCTCTGTCTTGGTGATCCTAATGGAGGCGAAGCTTGATCTCTCGGGACCCTAAAGGAAGTGAAACCTGGAGCTCTCCTTCGGGAACCCTGAATAAAAGGTGAGGCCAGAGCTCTGGAGGGGCCCTGAAGGAGGTGAAGCCTGGAGCTCTCTTTCGGGAACCCTGAAAACGTGAAACCAGGAGCTCTCGGGGGTCTCTGAAGGAGGTGAAGGCTTCTTATGTGATACCTTTCGACCCTGTTTTTGTGTAGGGAAGATCTGTGCCAGCTTGCCTTTTTTCCTCGGATGTTGTCTAGTCGACATATTCATACATACTAAAGGCATTCACCAACCTCTGCAATACCCTTCGTTGTTGACGTTGATCCATAGTAGCTAGGCACATGTCCAGGATCGCGTCCATCTGAGGGTCATCCTCTTTCTCCAGCTTGCTGAGCATTCGCTGGATTTGCTCGGTGCTGTCAAAGATGACGTTTAGGATGTCTTCGATGGAAACGTCTTGCTCAACATGGACTTCGTACAAGAGCTCAAACACGGCGTCGACATTCAGTGCCAGCATGCATGTTCCGCTGTCGCAGAGCCATTGCTGCTCCATCTTATTGACCTGGCCGTTTTCAAAGAGTAGTCCAGGAATCTTCACAGCCTATCATCCCCGTATATTCTCTAAAAGCCACAGAGCTTTGGGAAACACTAACTTATGTGCTTACGAGTGGATTGATTTACAGAAACTGTCATGGTTTGCTAAAAAATCATTGTTTTGAGCAACTCAACCTTTGTAGACAGCCATCTGCATGAGCAAAGAAGGGCAGCACGTTCAGTATGCAGCTGCCGAAGCTGATCATGCACTTGGTCACGTTCACCGTTATCCAAATGAAATGGATCGTCGCTTTCCCAGTCATCCTTTGCAAATAGCATGGGAACCACTCTGCCAAAGCGCTCCAGCATCAGTGGTTCCCTTGCGGTTGACTGCAGCGCAACGCCAAGGGCGTCCAGTGCACGTGACATTTTCCGGTGCTCCATAAAGTGGTTGGTGCAAGGCTGCGGCATATTTAACTCTGTACTTCTTAATGTACTGTTCGGTTCAGGCCATGTTGTAGTGTCATGACTACATGACTGATACTGCAACGGAAAATGCTGCTGGAACACAGAGTGTTGCGTGGAGCTTGATCTTCGGGGAGCCTAAAGGAGGTGAAACCTGCAGCTCTCGGGGGGCCTAAAGGAGGTGTGGAGCTCTCGGGGGGGCCTAAACCAGGAGCTTTCAGGGACCTAAAGGAGGTGGGAGCTCTCTCGGGTGAAACTTGGAGCTCTCGAAGGGGCCTAAAGGAGGTTTTGGGGGGCTAAGGGGGTGAAACCTGGAGCTTTTTGGGGGGGCCTAAAGGGGGTGATTTCGGGGGGGCTAAAGGAGGTGAAACCTGGAGCTCTCAGGGGTGCCTAAAGGAGGTGAAACCTGGAGCTCTCCGGGGGGGCCTTAAGGAGGTGAAACCTGGACCTCTCGGCAGGGGCCTAAAGGAGGTGAAGCCCGTAGCTCCGGGTGGGGGGGGGGGGGGCCTAAAAAAGGTGAGACCTGGCTGCTTGATTCGATTCGCCGAAGCTGTATCTTGACCGTGGGTTTCTACGATAGAAGCTGCATAATTACCAGAAATGGCATTTGCGAAGATGTCAGCTAGTAGTGGCTGTTATTTTCTGACATCAACACGCAGCACTGCAACCATTTTTTCTGATGATCACTATTTCAAGTGATGATACGCCGCACAACATGCGCTAAAATCTGCTCGCTCTTCTCCCAAAAACAGAATGTGCCCATCCTGTTTCGCCAGCAATGACACCAGTTTATACACATTCAGCATTTGACCAACACATCCATCCTGGTTGGGATTGCTGGAGGCTTGAATGCAGCTCGTCCAAGGCACCGAACCAGTCCATGTGAGAGGTACTCGCAGCAAAGCTTGTACTTGCGCCAAACCTTTCGAACGTAGTGACCCTTTACTATGCCGAGG